TATTATTACACCGGTCGCTGTCATGACTACTTGCATTAGTTTCGTCTACTCACGCTACGACTTCCACTCTTACGACATTGCTTACTAGTACTACAACAACAACAACTACTACTACTACTACTACTACTACTACTACTACCTACGACGACTATTACTTTTACTGCCACTACTACGATTACCACCACTACTACCACGAACTACTACTACTACTAGTACCACTACTACGACCTTTTCGTCTACCACCTAGTATTACTACCCGTTCGTTGGCAAAGGCCTCATTCTCCTGAAGTTCGAGACGATTATGTTCAAGGTATGGGAGAGCGGCACGAAGGTGGCACTCCCCTACTCTCTGTGTTTTTACACCGCCCCAGGGGGGCGAGAGTTCTAGGGTGAGGCTAAGATTTGCCCCAGCGCCTCCACCATGGAGGCATACAGGGTTCACCGAGTGTTTCGCCGGGACCTCGACGGACCCCGCCCTTCGGGGCAAAATGAATTCCCGGTAGTTGGACGCAAGGAAGCAAGGTGGACGTCGAGAAGTGTGATTACACCTCAAAATGGGGCAGATTTCATACACACTCGGCGCCGTGCCAATCGTCTACGCCACCGTGGTCGACGACAGGCTCCACCATCTCGCACTTTTTCAGATAGCTGGCGGGCGGCTGTACAGAACGTCCAAGGGCTAAATTGGCGACTGATCGCACATCGAGATAAGCTGGCCCACATTCTCACTTCAGCACGAAAGGAGCGCTGGGACATTGCTTTTCTCTCAGAACTGCATGGTGAGGCCCCTTGCCTCGTTTACTTGGAAGAATTTCTCTTGGTGTCTAGTGGAAGAGCAGCACTACTTCTGGGTCCGACTGCACGGGAAGCTTTTGACAGAGCCGGAGCCCAATGGCACTGCGAAGGAGATCGTTTGGTGGCAGCCCTACTCCAGGACGAGACGGGCGAGAAGCTACATGCGGTCAGTTTTAACGGACCAACCGGCGTCCGCGCTGCTGAGCTCAAGTCTTGGCATAATACTGTATTGCATTTTCATGAGCATGTTAGTGGATTGGGAGGAGTGCAACTTTGGGGTGGAGACTTCAATGCACATCGCGGTGCAGATTGGCAGTTCGATGGACTCCACTCCGGACCGTACGCTCTGAGTACGGCCACAACCCCAGCAGGGAAAAAATGGCAAGCTCTTCTCCAGTCGACGTCGTTGGCACATGCAGATAGTTTTCTTTCTATGTCCCAGAGAGGCACGTGGATTCACCTTCAGACGCATCAATGGTACGAGTTGGACGGGCTATTGATTTCGACCACACATAGCAGATGTATTCAACACATCCGACAACAAAATCGTCATCGAATATCGGATCATGTAGGGCGTGTTTATCATCTACATCTGGGTACTGTCTTGGGGAGGGCAAAGCGACGACAGCGACGAGCCAAATTTATTGCGATCGAGTGCCAAAAAAGACAGAAACTGGAGACACAACAAAAGAAACTCAATGTGGGACTTCTTCGGGGAAAGAGCGAAACAACATCGATGCGACGCCGACTTATACAACGACGAGTCGAAGAAAAACTCCCAGATCTACCTCTGGATCGACCTTGGCCCTCTTCTTCCTCATCTTCTTCCTCATCCCAGGCTCCAGACCCCTGGTCAGTACTACGTGGATGTATCCGGGAGGTGGCTACGGATGTGGTGGGGAGGGGACGTCTTCAGCCGTGCTTCGGGGCGCCGTACACAGACGAGGATGCAACCCGAATTGCCGACCTCCGTGCTGAGATGGAAAAGGCTTGGCGGACCATTGCGGCAAGTCGACACACGGCCGCAGAGGTGCCTGCTCGTACCCAGTTCCGCCAGGCCAAGAGAAACTGGGAACAATTCAAAAGGCGTGCTAGATCTATATACGTACGACAACTATGTGGGGAAATTACTAATGCAATGAATCGTGGTGATCTACATGCCTTTTATGCGTTACTACCCAAACTTAGTATTCATGTACGGGGAAGGAGTAGGCAGGGGGAGGAACCGCATACGTTGGAACAGATCGCAGACTTCCTGGAGTCGCTTGGTTCGAACCCGGCCGTCGTCACAGAGGAGACTATTGCGAGAGGCTGCCCAGAAGTTGCCGTCGACCCTACACTGGGGGATACTCCGTCTGCTGAGGAAGTTCTTCGGGCTCTCAGGAAAATGAAAGACAGCGCGGCGGGGTCAGACGAAATCAGCGTGGGCTTGTTCAAGGTGTTGGGACCTCGGGGACAAAATCTTCTGGTACGTTCAGTGTGGTATTTGTGGGACTTGCCGCCGGGGGTATGGCCAGCTGAAGTGGCGGACGTGGTTGGCTTCAGGCTCTTCAAGAAGGGGGACAGGGGCAATCTGGGAAACTATCGGACCCTTTGGCTCATTAACGTTATCGTTAGGCTGCTGAGCAAGATCATCGCAGACAGATTACAAAAACATGCGGAAGCCCGGGGCCTTTTCCCAGAGACGCAATGGGGGTTCAGGGGCGAGAGGAATACCATGGGCCCGTTGTTCATTGCCAGATGCGTCCTGGAGATGGCCGCGGAGGTGGGGGAGGTTAAGGCCCAGGTCGTCCCGGCCCTCGTATTGCTGCTTCTGGATATTGAAAAATCATATCCGTCTGTTCCTCGTGCTGCTGCGGATGTTGTGTTTCGGAAGGCTGGCGTCCCAGAGAACCTGCGCAAATTGATCCAGGGGTTGCATGGCAGTTGCAGGTACCGCGTCCGCACGGCAGAGGGGGAGTCTAGGAGCTTCGAGCTGGAAAAAGGTTTCAGGGAAGGGGACCCCAGCAGTCCGGTGTGCTTCAACATCTACCACTCCAACGTCATGACAGATGTGAGGCGGCAGCTTTTAGACATGTTCGGGGAGGATATGGGTGTGAACATTGGGTGGAGTCCAGAGCAGTTACTAGGCCGTCGTCAACGTCGGGACCCCCCTAGGATCCCTAAGGTGACCGAGAGGCTCGTCGACCTGCTTTTCGCCGATGACACGTCGTTGTTTTGTCGCCAGCCCGTACTAGCACAGGTTGAACAATCCGCACAACGCCTCATGCAGGAATGGGGGGAAAAAATACATATGGGCAAATTGGAAAGAATTACGGTAGGCAAAAGGACATACTCAGTACAACGTCGACTTCGGGGAAAACAAGCTCGAAAGGATCCTCTTCCTCCGGCCCAGACCTACGAGGAAGCAATCAAGTTGCTCGGAGGATGGCTTGAATCCACGGGCAAGCACAACATTGATACCGGCAAGAGAATACAGGCTGCTAGGCGGATCTTTGCCAAAGTCTTGAAGCAACTTCCCCGGTTGGGGTTGTCGGACAAGGACCGGGGCCGCGTGTTGAAGGCTACGGTGGAATCTTCTCTTTTCTATGGAATGGAAGCCCGTTCAGTGAATTACTTGGAGATGAAGCAGATCAAAAAGTTCCACAACCAGGTACTGATGGGAGCCACGGCCACGAAAAGGAGGGAAATGCACACCAACCAGCTTACGTTGCAAGACCTTCGTCGTCGTCTCGGCCTCGACCCCGTGCATATTACTATTTCTCTACGTCAACTACGATGGGTGGGACATATTGCCAGGCTGGGTAAAGAAAGGTGGGAGTTTAAGCTATTAAAAGGGTGGTTACGTCCAGAACACGAATTACCGGCAGCTAAAGGTTCTAAATATGGTCCTTCTCCAAGCACTAGATATCAGTTGTGGCAACGTATTCGGTCAATCATGGTGTATTCGGGGGCCCCGGAGGCTTCCTGGCAAAAAGAGTGGTTGGAAATTGCACAGGACAGGAGGAGGTGGAGAGGGATGATTGCCAAATGGAGGAAGGATGCTCTCAAACTTGCTTCTAAAGATGAATGGGCCGAACGCCACAGTCCGGAGGGAGCGGCTACAGTACGGCACGCACGCAGACGAGAGCGAGAAGAGATGGTCCAAAACATCCCGATCGACACAGAGGGACGAGGTCAATGCCCTCACTGCTCTGGCTTTTTCTTTCACAAGACCTTGGCTCAGCACATGGGCCATTGTTGCCGCCTGACCCCAGAACAGCGTGAGAAAGCTTTTCGCCATCGCGTGGAACGACTTCGACGGGAAGAGGCCGCCCCGGCCACCAAGAGGAGGAAGGCGGAGCTCGACGCCATCCGGCTTACCCTTCACAAAGCATCTGCACCGGCTTCGGGACGGTCCTCAGGGGGTCCAGCACGTCAGCCCACGGTATACTCGAAGGAGGAGTTGGCCACGAGGAGGAGGTTGAGGGGTAAACGTAAAGCGCCAATTTGTTACCAGGCCGTCGCCTTCCGCAAGCAGAGTAAACGTCACAGAGTTTCTCAACCTACATTTGTTCCACGTGTTCTTGCACCAGTTCGTAGAGATGGAGGAGGAGAAGGCGGTGGAGGTGGTGATGCTGGTGGGGGTGGTGAAGCTGGAGGAGGAGGTGGAGGAAGAGAGCAACATGTTCTTAATCAATTTGAAACATGTTGGGGAGGAAGCACAGAGCAGAACGGAAGGTTACGCATGCGAGGGAAGAGTGGCAGTCAGAAGTTCCTGGGACGCTTGCCTGGTGCACTTCTCGTTCCCCCGGCTGCAGGACAGCCTCCTCGGATTCAGTTTCGGAAGGAAAAGGGAAAGGATACGTACAAGGCCGTCTGTCAGAAGAAACCCACGGACCTCATCCATCTTCCTGCTCCTCCCCGTCAACCAGGCGATCGACTCGAAAAATGTCCTTGGTGCAAGGTGGTGTTTCCTGAAACACGTGTTTGTTCAATCCACATGAAGACATGCATGCACATGCCGTACCAGATGTGGCTTGCCAGAACGAGGTATTGTAATGAAGTTGAAGGTGCGTCACATCCGTGTCAACACTGCGGGACCAGATTTACGACGGCACGGGGGTCAGCACGTCATGCCAGAGGTTGTAAGGTTCGTCGAGAAATTCATGGTTTGGCAATTGATCTCAATCATTATCATGAATGTGATCTGAATGAGGCCCAAA